GTGCGCAGTTGGCAGCATCAGCCCTTCGTGCCCTCTCCTTCCTCCTCTCTCGCCCATTCACAGAACTCCTAGTACTCTTTCCCAGAATGCAAAGCTCTCTGCTATTGGAGAAGTCGGATCCTGTCGATTATCCGCCTCCTCCATTGACAGAATGCTTTGAATACGAGTTCTGTGAATGGGCGAGAGCGGAGGAAGGAGTGGGTCCGTGGTGCCGATGTGCTGGTGCCGAAAGATCCCCTTTCTGCAGCATTCAGGATGCTCCAAACTCCTGGAGGAAGAAGAGGAGCTGTGACGTCGTGCCACTTGACGCTGGGTTTAGAAAAAAGGTGTGTATATTTAATTAAACATTTGGGTGTACTCCAGTAGGCGGAGGGGGCAAACACGGGGGGCCAGGGGTGTGCTATCCCGAGCCCAAAGTTGTACCTGTGTCGAGAGGGATATGTGGGTCGTTGGTGTTGCTCCCCTCTGGCTACATCAATACATTCTGATTCCCTGCCCCTGTTTGCATACTCGCTATAAGTCTGAGCGTACTGAAGCCGGTACATGAGGGTGCAGCAGCGCCCGCCGCCGTACTTCCTTTAATCCGCCGTGACGCACACTACAATGCACCTCAAAAGCCAGAAAAAAACAAACGGCATGCTGAAGTTTGAACAAGTCCTTATTGTTCTCGCCGCTGTAAAGTTATGATGGGAAATATGGTTGCCATAGTTACAGCCTTGCTAAATAACCCCGTAGGCGCAGAAAGCCTGAGGAACGGTTGATAAATGACTGTAGCAGAAGCTATTGTATTGCAGCGTTATCCTACGAAAAGGATTCGGCGCCGATGTGCTTATTAAAATGTTATGTGTGTGATGTAGACGAAAGTCACGGCTAGCACGGTGTACCCCTTTCCCGAATCTACTATCAGTGCATTGCGTTGGATAACCTCCAGCCATGGATCCTTAAAAGTCCATACTTACCTTCCTGGCCTCTGAAATCACCAAAAACAAACAGTCCCGCCCCCATGATATATTCACCGGGCCAAAAGAAACCAATTCATACAAATCCTGTCTGCAGTGTGCTCTGTAAATGTGTCCCTGCGCTTTATTCCTCTCATACTAACCTTGAGCAATTGAAACCTATTTTTTTTTTTTATTGGTTGAAGAGGAGCTACAAGTCATTTCTGCATGCAAAATAGGTCATAAGAGTGGAGCACCAATTGTCATTTGCATTATTCCATGCTGAAAGAGAGACTTTGCTTTGTATACCGGCGTAGGTTTGTTGCAGAGGATCGATGTCTCATTGCAGCGGGTTGGTTCGGGACTTTGAAGGTTCTTTTTTTTCTGCCCTGGAATTGAACAGGAAATGGACAGAATTTGATCAGCGTATGGCCAGCTTCCTGTTTGTGGGCCCCCTTGCATTGGGGCTACCCCCCCTTGCAGTGAGGCAACCCCTGCATTGCAAGAGTTAACTGCTGGGTAATGTCTAGGATAACTGTGTAAGGGACTTTTACTTACCTGATCCCCAGCGCCCCCAGCAGTTTAGTTTCCCATTCTCCTCTACGGTCTAGCTTGTGGACCGTCTCTTGGCATCCTCGCATATAATGCATGGCTATTGCGTGTCTGCATGTCAGTCGGCCGACCTCCAGAGGGCCGTGTGGAAGAAGTTGTGGGTGCAGGTAAGTACAAGTACTTTGCACAATACCTCCCCCCCAGACTTTAAAGGAGAACTATGAGGTGAGTGCTTTTCACTCACCTCATAGTTCTAGCCAACCTGTGACAATGAGACTGTCACAGGTCGGCTCAGTAGATCGGGAGGTGAGCGAACACATACCGGCGTTCGCTCACCTCTCGATCCTGTCACAGCTCTCTGCCGTGACAGGGGAGGGACTGGATTCCCCCCTCCCCGCTCCGATCCGCCAGCGCTGACTGGCGGAACAGACGGGGGAGGGGGCGGGTACAGCTGGCTCTGCCTCTAGATAGGCAGAGCCAGCTGTCAGTCACCCAGCTAGGCGGATCCCGGCATAATTGTCGGGATCCGCTTCAGCTGCGGCGTCTCAGTATACCGCGAGCAGTATATCGCGGCCTCTCAGTATATAGTGAGCTGTAGCTCGCGATATACTGAGCTTAGGGTGACTAGAGGACGCTAGTTTGTGTCCTCCCGTCACCCTATGGGGAAAAGCCCTAACACCCATAGTTCTCCTTTAACAAGCAGTTAGCCCTTGCAGTGATGTGGTTGCCCCTCTGCAGGGTTTTTTTTTTTCTTTTTCCTGGCTATAGCTTTGGATGATGGAATGTGTTCTTCTACAAAGGATGAAGCATCTCATGGAAATGTTGTCCCATTTGTACATATTTTAGGTGAACCGCTGACCTGGCTTTGGGGATTTGGCCGGCTTTGCTTTGAGGAAAGTCTTTTACTTTTTATGGCCATAAACAAACGTTTTATGACTTTTGTATTTCTGATTTTCAGGTTCAGGAATCTTCAGTGATGACCAGCTCCTCCCAGCGTATCCAGATAATCTCTACAGACTCAGCCGTCTCCACTCCTCAGCGTATCCAGGTATTATAACATGCCAACAAATTATGTTTCACTGTTTTATCTATATAAACCACAATACTGATCTTCCCCCTTTTTCATCTACACGGCCTGGCCAAAAAGAAAGTCACAGTATTTCGTTGGACCGCCTTTAGCATTCGCCGTGACATCACTTCCATAATCATATGCAATGTCACAACATTTATTTACGCCCAGAATTGCACTGATCTTTCAACAAGATCTTGTAGTGATGAAGGGAGAGTCAGACCACTGCGTAAAGTCTTTTCCAGCACATCCCAAATGGGGTTAAGGTCTGGACTCTGTGGTGGCCAATCCCTGTGTGACAATGATGTCTCATGCGCCCTTAACCACTCTCACAATCTGAGCCCGATGAATCCTGGCATTGTCATCTTGGAATATGCCCAATGTGCCATCAGAAAGGAAAAATCCATTGATGGAAAAACCTGATCATTCAGTATATTCTGTTCGGCAGCTGACCTCATTTTTTGAGGATGTAATGTTGCTGAACCCTAGACCTGACCAACTGAAGTATCCCCAGTAGGGCTGCAACAACTAATCGACATAATCAATTATAATCGATGATTGAAAAAGTTGTCAACTTTTTCAATCATCGATTAATCAGCTTCCGATTGGTTGGCACTGTTCACGGCTCCACACATGCTGCGCGCCACACCTCCTCCCCACCTCACGCTTGCCACTGCCAGACCCGCCCGGCCGCATCCACGCTCCACACGCTGCACCTCCTCCCCGCCTCACGCTCCCCACCCACATCCACAACAGGACTACAAAACCCAGCAATAGTACATTATTCAGCGCAATGCAGAATACCACCAGCCATAGAGGACTACAAAACCCAGCAATAGTACATTATAGCTGTCGGTATTCTGCATTGTGCTGTATAATGTGCAATTGCTGGGTTTTGTAGTCCTCTATAGCCGACCTGTGCATTCTGCATTAATTGCTGTATAATTTTACACTTTTCATTTCACTATATTGCACACCACACTTTTTTTTTTTATATCTTTCCACCACTCCACGCTTGCTCCTGTGATGGACTGCAATCTCAATACAAACTAGTAGTCCCATCACTGGAGCCATTTTTTTTACATTTTATTTTTTATCCGATTAATCGAACATAATAATCGGCTAACTAATCGATTTTTAAAATAATCGTTAGCTGCAGCTCTAATCCCCAGATCATAACACTGCCCGAAGTACAGGTGGTGACTTTGTTTTTTGATGCAGGAAGTGTCTGCGATTTCTGTCTCTGGCACCTGCCTTGGGGAGCTCTTCAAATGGCGCTGCTGTCCAAGCGCCATTTGAAAATGGCACCTGAAACACGAGTGGCAAGAAGGCACTGACATGACCTAATCATTCTTTCTATCTTCATTCCTCATTAGGAGGATCAGGAGGTAGCCAGATATTAGATACATGATCCATTGTCTTCACAGATTGTAACAGATCAGCAGACGGGACAGAAGATCCAAATTGTAACAGCCGTAGACTCCTCGGTGTCACCCAAGCAGCAGTTCATCTTGGCCAGTCCGGATGGATCTGGAGCAGGGAAGGTGATATTAGCCTCCCCAGAATCTGCCAATGCCAAGCAGCTTATCTTCACAACAGAAAACATTGTGCCGGGTAGGATTCAGGTGAGAGGATGTCCTGCTCTTCTGTCATTTTCACTGACCTAATTAAAGGCCATTGGTACCTTTTAGTTTAAATCTGTGAAATACATTGCAGCTGCATATAAACCAAAGATCTGCTAAGTCTTACAATTTGTTTTCTTTCTAAAGCAGCCACAGCCTGAGCAGAAAGAACTGTCCCCTGCCAGCATGCTGCGAAGACGCACCCTTGCTCCCTATGTGAAAGCAGAGGTCTGGCATGCCCCCATACTGATTCAAACCTCAGCTCTGCAATCTGCAAAGCTCAATCTTTTCACTGTTTGGAGAACTCTAGCTCTGTTTCCGTAAGGGGGGGTGTCAGACCTCTGCTTCCACACCGAGTGCAAGGGTCCATCTATGCAGCATGCTGGCAGGGGACAGGCTTTTCTACTCAGGATGTGGCTTCTTTCTGAATAAAATAAGACTTTGCACACCTTACTCCTTTTTACCATGTTACGAACAAAGACGTTTTCACTGGTTTGCAGCTAACTACGTAAAGCTGATACTTATCAGATGATGCGGTTGCAATATTAATAGGTTCATCTTATAATACAAATTTTGGAGTAGCTGACAGAAGGATTCTACCCTGAATGCAGTGTGGTTATCTTCCCAGTTATGTCGTTGCCTGGTCATGCTTCATTTCACACTTCTTGTCTGCTTTCCCGCAGATAGTTACGGATGCAGCTTCTGTGGAGAGACTTCTGGGGAAAACGGAAGTGCAGCGGCCTCAGATTATCGAATACTGCGTAGTGTGCGGGGACAAAGCGTCAGGTGCGTTGAGAATTATGTTGTTCGTCGGTCATTTAGTACCATGATACCCAACCTGCAGCAGTTATTGAGCGACCCTCTGGGCCTTTTCATACAATAGTCTGTGTTTTCCTTATCAAGGTGCTTACTGAACGTAGTAAAGGAAAAGATTTACAGGGCTATTCACCACAGAGTAAAGAGTGTGGAGAAGGCAGAAGAAGCGAACAATCTAGGACAACATAGCTGGAGAATTGTTCCAAATCAGCTATGTTGGCCTAGATTATTCACTTCTCCAACTTCTCCAATTTCTTCACCCTTTTGTGAATAACCATGTTAGAGTGAACTACAGTTGGTTTATTTCTTTCACACTATCTCACTTTTTTTCTTTGCTGTCCCCTATCTCACTCTGTTTTTATAATGGATCTAGTGAAGAGAAGTATTAGTAAGTTATTTTATGGGGGCTGTAGGGAGCATCTAAACTGAGTGGCTGGATTATTATGACCACCTGACGTTTGTAGGCAAATTAGCTATAATGTCGCTCTGAAGTTGCTAGAGAGCCAGACCATTATAAATAGGGGAGCGGGTTGTTTACCACGACAGTAGAAGTGATTTTTTTTCTGAAAATACTTGTAAACAACGCGATGTAACAGCCTTTGAATGTGGGATGATTGTTGGCGTATCAGTTGAGTATCAGCAAAACAGCAGAATTTGTTAAATGTTCAAGAGCAGCTGTTGTTAAAGTGTTTAAAGACCGGAATGTCAGCCGAAAATCTGGGTCTGAACGTGCGAATTGTGGCCGCCAGCGACTAGTCAATGTTAGGGCAGAACGGGGGAGGGGCAAGACTGGTACAAGACAACAGAAGGGTAACAGTGCAGTGTCAGATTCCTCGCATCACCTTTCATCATCTCGTGGAGTCACGAGGCGGCCCAACGAAGTACTGATGGGGTGGTCATAATAATCCGGCCACTGAGTGTATATCTAGCAGACTCATGTAACATGTCTCCTGAAGCACATCTCCAGTCTCCAACAACTCCTATAACATGTTTGGTCATGCATGGTCACTGACCATCTCTTGTAGTATGTCTGCAGTCACTGACCATCTCTACGGTAGTATGTCTGCAGACTCTGATCACCTCCTGCTGCATATAAGCAGTCTCTGACAGCTTTCTGCAGCATTACATTCATTGAATATTCTGTGCTACCCTTTGGTGATGTCAAGGGCTGCACTTGAGGTCCCCTAAATCAAGTAACCACCATTGATCTAATACATGAATGGAACTTCACAGAGAATGTGTTCCTATGGGTTCAGAATTTAAAGTAGATGTGAAGCCTGTTTGAATTAATTATAGTTTGCTATACAGGTATTCCTCACTTAACGACCGAGTTCCGTTCCTACGACCAGATCGTTAAACGAATTGGTCGTTAAGTGAGGAACTCTATACAGTACTGTACTGCATTAGTACAGTACTGTATAGCGTTGCAGATGTACAGTACCGAACAGTGTACTGTACATCGGGCAATGAAAATACTTACCGGGACCCGCAGTGAAGATCGGCGGTCCGTCGTAAGTGCGAGTGGTCGCAAAGCAGGTAAGTCGGTAACCGAGGAATGTCTGTATATAACACTGACTGTAAACTCTATTTGCAAAACTAAAGCACCAGGATAAGTGTCCTTCTTTTCAGTTGAGACCAATGAAATTTGAAAAATACAGTCACATGGCTATATGTATGTATATATGTGTATATATACAGTATATGTATATACCGTATATGTAAATTTCCATTTTTTTTTTTAATTCTTTTTTTACATGTTTTGTGGCATCTCAGTGCTGCTGGTCTTCTGCGGTCTCTTTGAATTCACATCTGGTCTATATGCACTGTAGCGATATCTGCATGGTATTTCACAGGACTGGTTTCTTGATGGTGACAACGGTGGCCATACCTGCACAATTTGCATTAGCGCGGTCACTTGTGGCCTCTACTGGTAGCTCATGTGACAGGGTGGCAATGCAACAGCACAAGTGAGAGACAAGGAAAAAGCATTGTTGCCCTAGAACAGGAAGTGCTTGAACAAGGACCTTCATGGTTTGATCACCAGGAATTATTTTGATGAATGTTGCAAATTTTAAAATATTAAAATGACTTTTGGAATAATATTAAGATTTTAAAATGAGATTCAGTGATTTGGGTTTACATATAGTAGATATGTCTCTTATCTCTCGCTGTTATAATAGATCTAGTAAAGAGAAGTATTATTTAGTCATTTTAAGGGGGCTGTAGGAAGCATCGATATCTAGCAGACTGTCTAGGGGGGGCCGAACCATAGGGAAGGTTGGTATTGCAGCAAACACTGTATTCTTTAAACTTTATAGGTGTTAGGGACATTTTTTTCTTAAAGCTGGAGATCATCTTTAAAGCCTATTTCTAGCAAACATAAACCTCCTCCCTTAAAGCAGCACCTGATCGGGAAAGAAGGGGGGGGAGGGGTGTACTATACATTATGTGTATATTGCTTTCAGCTTTATTGTTTTGGGGGCTGCAAGTTTGTAGATCAGCTTTTAACAGTTGTTGGTTTAGGTTAATGGCAGTGATCTGGCCAATATCTCATAAGCTTACATTATGTCTTCCTTCCTACCGGCAACAGGTATTCTCAAAACGATTGAACAAACCATTTCTGTTGAGATTGCAGACCCTTCCTTCACAGTGTGCCATTTCCCCCCCCTCCTCAGGTCGCCACTATGGGGCCGTCAGCTGCGAAGGATGCAAGGGCTTCTTTAAGAGAAGCGTTCGCAAGACCCTGACGTACAGCTGTCGCAGCAGCCAGGACTGCGTCATCAACAAACACCACCGGAACCGATGCCAGTTTTGTCGCCTCAAAAAATGTCTAGAAATGGGCATGAAAATGGAATGTGAGTTTAAGGGTCAGAGTTTACATTTTTTTTCCCTCCTTGTCTATTCATAAAAATGTTTTCTTTGGTTTAAAGTTTGCTTTAAATGACCTATCTTCTTTTCATCATGCTTTGCCCTTCCAGTCACTCCCACTACTTTTAGATGTTGGTAATCTGTATATGAAAATTAACAGACCGCCTGCCGAAATCACCTTAATTTGATGCCAACTGCCAGTCATGCATGCAGCAGCCCGCAGCAGCCTCAGTAAGGCCGCCTACCATTCAGTGAAGTCTTTGCTTTTAGCTCCATCCCTTTAAGGCTTATGTAATACCAGCAATCCTTTCAGTGGTGACAGTTCATCATTGACAGGACACCTAACCAAGCAGAACACTCTTCTGCTCCTGTGGCGTCTCTTCATTGCCGGATGAATACTCAGAAATACGCTGCCCGGACGCATCTCGGTTCCATTCTGTTTTTGCGCATTTTTACGCTACGCAAATATACTGCTCCATACGCGGCTATGTGTATGGAGCCATTTATTTGCATATGGTACAATACGCACGTACGCGCGTATATGCGCGCGAGTGTGAATGAGACCGAGCTTAAATGTATCTGTGATACTGTATCATTCTTTAACGGGTCAAAGATACAAAAAGTCCAAGGCCATTAGAAAATAAAGTGTGTATCTAAATCAACTCATGGGATCTGTTCATAATATCTTGGAGGTGGACTTCTTGCCAAGGCAGAATGTGTGACGCATTTTACTCCATGCCTGCTATGTACGGTATATGCTCTGCGATATTCTGCCTCTGCACATCCTGAGTTCTGTGCTACTAATCTGCCTAATTATGCTTTAAAGTGGACATACTTTTTTCCCAAGCAGAAAAGCATAATTTTAAACAAACCTCAATTTGTTTTTGCTAGTAAGTTCCATATTCAGAGTGAGAGGAGTGATTATTTCCACTGATGTGAAGTCATGCCTAGAAATGCGTAATAAATGTGCCATCCATTCGCCCCAGGGATATCTGTTCAATTTTTTATTAAAGCAAGTGACACAACACTGTTTATGTGAAATAAACACTAATATCTGGTGCGAATTGTATATTTATGATGTCAAACGAGTGGGCGACGAACAAGTCAGGAGCTGTAAGATCAATTCTATACTATACTGAGCTAAGTGTGTGTGTGGGGTGAGGGGGAGCACTGGCCATGTGCAGACTTGCTGCTGAGTTTCCCCTTTTCCAGCAATAACCATTCTGTGCAATCTGTCACCACCGCTGCCATCTTTTTTTTTCATCTTCTTTGGCTTTTTGTTGACCAGTAACCATTTTATTTGATCGACTGCTCAAAAATGGAAATCCACTAGAACTGTGGCTGGGTTTTTCTTTCTTTTTGTATTAAAGTACAATTAAACCTTGGTTTTTTTTGCATATATCTACTGCTAGCAAGCAGTGATGGGCTCGGGCGTGTTCGCAAGCGACTCGTGCTGAGCCCGCCGGGAAGCTGTCAGCGCGCAGGGCCAATCACAGGCACTGAGACATTTCCCGATCTCTGCAGCTGCGGACCGGGAACATGTCTCAGTGCCTGTGATTGGCCCTGCACGCTGACAGCTTCCTGGCGGGCTCGGCACGAGGCACTTGCGAACACGCCCGAGCCCAACACTACTAGCAAGCAGTAGATATATGCAAAAACAATTTAAAAAAAAAAGGAAAGGAAGTTACCAAATAGGTAAAAACTTACATGTGTCTCCGCCGCACGTTCCCGTCCAAAGATCTGAAGATTCTCGTGCGGCCGTGAAGGATCATGGGGCGGGCGCATGCGCAGTAGAGATCTTGGGCCGGGAGAAGAGGAGAGACACAGTGTAAGTCAATGCACTCAGCCAGCAGCGTGCACGCGGACAGACACCATGGGACCCAAAGAGTCTGCGCTGGATCAGAGACCGGCACTAGCGCTGGAGGGACTCCTGAAAACTACAGGAAAGAAGATGATGATCGGATCAAGAGGCATCCTTTAAGGTAAGTTCTTAAAGCAGCATTAGGTGTGGGGGGGGGATGTGACTTTAATGTCACTTTAATTCTTTGCATTAAAGCAAGGAAACCAACCCAGTAGTATATTAATGTGTTTTTACTAAACTAGAATGCTGCACATACAAACTATTCACAGTTACAGAAGAACAATACAAGACATACAGAGTTCTATAAATAATGCATACATACTATCTGCTCTTTCCTAGCAAATACAAGAGTCTGTGTGTAAATGGTTATACACTAAAGATTAGCTGGCTTCCGTTATAGGCGGTTCATGATTTCTTTTTCAAACAAGACTTTGGGCATTAAGCGTTTGTAGGAAAAAGGGTTCTTGATCTTGGCAGTCTCTCTTCCTCCCTCTCTCCCTCTCTCTCTGTTAGTCTTTGTATCTTGAAAAGCTATTCCCACATGGGCAAAGCTTTCAATTTCCTTCCTATGTCAGTTTCTATGGGGGAATAATTTCTGCCCAATGGCAGCACAGTATTATAGATGCCATGAGTTAAATATGTCAATAGGTCAGACTGTTGATCGTTATTGACACATCTGCAATTAAGCTTGGGTTCAGAGTTTGACAAGAGCTCATTCAAAACAATGGGAATGTACTTTCTTAGGAAATGGTTTAAAGTACACACAACATATACCACAAAGGTGTCTTTTTTCCTATTCTATTTCAGGACAGTACAATTGGTCTTGTTTGTGCAAACGCTTTCTTGATCTAAGAACAGCATGTGTTCTATATGTCCCCATAAGAAATCTGAAATCTGTTGTGTCCGAAAATCACATCAGAGGTGTGTGTCTGTGATAGTGTTGTGTTGTGCTTTTATGAGTCAACAGTAAAATCTCTACAATAGGAGGGCAGGTCTTAAAATTTAAAGTGTATCTAATGCCTAAAAGTTTGTTTTTAATCTTAGATAGATTAGGGAAAGGTTATGAAGCCACCAGCAACGAATCAGCAGCCCAGTAGTGACTGAGCAGCTCGGCTCACCCCAGTCTAGTATCCCTGTAGTGACTCAGCCGCTCAGCTCCCCTTGCCACCTCCTCCCAGCATTGCGTCAGTCTGAGGGCTTGTTCACACCATCTCCAGGCCAGAACGTAAAGTTGATAAGTGCAATCCCCACTTTTCCTGCTGTTTTTCAAAAGAAAGTGGTGTGTTTTTGCAGAAACTCTAAACCACAATGTTGGTCTGTTGCAGCGGTGCAAAGTGAGCGGAAACCATTTGACATTCATCGGGAGAAGCCATCCAACTGCGCGGCATCAACAGAAAAGATCTACATCCGGAAGGACCTGCGGAGTCCTCTCATAGCGACGCCAACATTCGTCTCCGACAAAGATGGTGGGAGGTTAGACTCAGCGCTATGTGAATTGATTGCTGTTTGTATCTGGTTCACGATATCTGTCAATAAGGTGATTGAAGTGGTAATCATCTGTGCTCACAGAGCATACTGGAGCTTGTTTATCATAAGAGGGCTTCATATTGCCCACTTTTCAGAGGTTTTTTTATTTATTGCATCTCTGTACCCAAAATACTTCTAAAGACATTGTCACTTTGCCCAATCACAGCTAAGTGACATTGTCTGCAGGACACCCCCGCCCCCAGCTTTTTATAATTGCCCAGCCACGCTACCTTGCTGCTTTTACAGATGTTTCATCCCTCTGCCCACCCCTAGATCATGACCATGTTAAAGTCTGGCGTTTGGCCTCTCAGGCCCAATACTGTCATATGGAAAAGCAACCTCTCTGTTAGTGAGACCTGTGTGGCTGGGTAAGTATAAATGCCTGGGATGGGGGGCACTATCTACAGCAGAGTTAACAAACCTCCGGCCCTCCAGGTGTGGTGAAACTACAAATCCCATGATGCATCTCTCTTCGGGAGTCATGTCTGTGAGAATCTTGCAATGCCTCATGGGATTTGTAGTTCCACCACAGCTCGGGGGCTGGAGGTTTGCTACCCCTGATCTACAGACACTGTCACTTTGCCCAATCTCTTTAATTGTTAAAGCGGAGCTTTACATTCAAAAATCAGATTCTACCATTGCATCCCTCTATGTATGATGATTAATAATAACATAGACATGTCAGGTGATTGTGAAATACTTACACTTGCAGAGCATTCACTTCCTGCTTTGAAAGTGCAAAATTACTTCAGTTTGGCAAAGCAATGCGCACTGGGATTGCCTTGTCATCAGCAGAGGATTGCTGGGAAATCTCATCTGTAAGCTCATGAGATCTCAGGGAAAGGCATTTTCCTCCCCTGAGATCATGTGCACGGTCACATGTCCTAGTCACATGTGCCAGAAATCCAGGAAGTAAAAGGAGAGCAAGTAATCTGCGCTTAGTAAACATGGCCACTTTTAGAAGAAAAGAGAAAAGGAATGCAAAGCCGGCAATCATCTAGAAGTATGTGTGTGTAGATTGTCATTACTAAACATTTCTAAAGATGTGTTTGTTGTTATTTTAAAGTTATCGGTAAAAGTCCACTTTAAATGATGTAAAAGGGATCTATTTTTGAAGGATGACTGCACTTCTTGACCGCATTCGTTGTGAAAAGTATAAAAACCTCTTGCTTTGTAATAATGTTTTTGTTACTTAAAGGAGAACTATGGGGTCAGTGTTTTTCCCCATAGTTCTCCTTAGGGTAACGGGAGGACACAAACTAGCGTCCTCCAATCACCCTAAGCTCAGTATACCGCGAGCTACAGCTCCCTATATACTGAGACGCCGCAGCCGGAGCGGATCCCGACTTAGACGACGGGATCCGCCCAGCTGCGTGAGTGACAGCTGGCTCTGCCTATCTAGAGGCAGAGCCAGCTGTACCCGCACCCTCCCCCGTCCGTTCCGCCAGTCAGCGCTGGCGGATCGGAGCGGGGAGAGGGGAATCCAGCCCCTCCCCTGTCACGGCAGAGAGCCGTGACAGGATCGAGAAGTGAGCGAACGCCGGTATGTGTTCGCTCACATCCCGATCTACTGAGCCGACCTGTGACAGTCTTATTGTCACAGGTCGGCTAGAACTATGAGGTGAGTGGAAATCACTCATCTCATAGTTCTCCTTTAATATAACTCTTAATAGACCATGAAATTAGGTAAGCAGCAATCAGAAATAAACTGAACTCTGATTGGTTGTTCAGGTTGGGGCACTTAGTTCGGTAATTGCTGTGTGGCTGCTTTATTGACTGGGCACCTGTCTGTGATATGACCATTAAAGTAATATACACTTTTCTGTGTTTAGACAATCGGGACTTCTCGATCCGGGTATGCTGGTCAATATTCAGCAGCCGCTCATAAGAGAGGACGGCACTGTGGTTCTGTCTGCAGACTCCAAGGTGAGCTCAGTTATAATCATTATTATAGGCTGACAAATGGGAAAACAATTTGAAAAATACATTTATATTTCTGCCTGTGTTGCTGTTTCAAATCTTCTGTCACTTCCTGTCTAAACAGGAAGTAAAAGGAAATCTGTCCCCGTTCACACCAGGGTGTTTGTAGTTCTTTCAGCACGGAAAAGCTCCGCACAAGAAATCCTTTTGATTTCTATAGTCCCCGTTCATGTTTCAGCACAGCATCGTGCTGAGAAAAAAAGCCGGTCGCTGGAAAAGGGTACATGAGCTTCTTTTTTGGGCAGATCAGCGCGATTAGGAATAGGAAAAAGGGTCATATCGCGCTGATCTCCCTAAAAAGAAGAGCATACTTCACAGGTTTGTGCAGAGCTTTTCCGTGCTGAGCTTTTCTGTGCTGAACTATATGAGCTACAAATGCCCTGGTGTGAATGGGGACTTGCAGGACACGGGGTTGTAGTTAAAACCCAGATGTCGTTTTAACCCTTCTGTTCTTCAAATTCTGACACCCCATGCATGTGTGTGTTACCGTGAGCCTGTCCCACTATTAGTGAGTACTCCATATATTCCTACAAGCAGTTGCATTACAAGGCATGTGATGCAATATTTTTCTGTCTTGCTTTCTACATTGTACCAACCTTAGGAATATATGAAGAACTCAGACCAGAGGCAACAGTAGCTCGGCTGAAAAGCAGAGTCCCTCCTCTACCGAAAACTGAGAATAAATGTATGTTTTCTAAATCCCCAGACAGAAGCCAGTCAGAGTGGACTGGGAACTTTAGCAAATGTCGTCACATCACTCGCCAATCTCACGGAGTCGGCAAACAAAGGGGACACTTCGGATACCCAACCAGAGGACCAATTCTCAAGTGAGATCACGCGGTGAGTGGTTGAAGATTGAGGGTAACGAGTATGATTAGTGTGTGGAGAGTGTGAATTGTTGTAAAGCAGTTTATAGGCAAATGGCCAATATTAACCACCCAAAGGTCCACCCAAAACAGGTTTATCTGTATATTTGCTGGGCAGGGTTCAGTCACCTTATTGGTGTTCACTGCTTACTGGAATTATGGCGAGGACATCTTCTTCTGCCCCTGACATGGCTGTGAAAGGTCAAGTTTGGCTTTTCAGCTGTTCTACTGTTGTCACTGGCCTGAGTCATGTACATTTTATATTACTGCCCTTTAGTGCATTGTCCCTGCTTATATTATGCCTTCCCTGGTTCCTCCCTCCCCCTTCATCAAAATGCGAATGACATTATGAAATAAAACCTTTTCATTTTCCTTTCATACCTTATGTTAGACCCAGTGATATCATCATTGGGTCTCTGGGCTTCTGTATGTAATGCAGTCAGATTATGGCTGGGGGAGGGACCAGCAGGATGCTTTACATAGCTTCCCGAAGACATCACAACATCCTGCCCTCAGTACTCACCCATGAGATACATCATCCTGGCCTGGCCAACTAAGATGGCTGAATAACCCAAATGTGGAAGACGCCCTCAGCCCTGATACAAGCAGTGGGCTGGCTCTTGGGAGTAGTTAAGCAAATATCAAAATGTCTTTATGGGTGGACGTCAGTCTTGAGGAGTGGGCGTTCCTAGACAGACGCACCCTAGGTAATTAGAAATTGAGACTGATTGGTTAGCGCACACTTAGTGGGGGGGTTGAGTATGTTGAGGCCGGTGTGCAGCTCCTTTTGTTGTTGGACCGAGGTGTCTAACTGCATAATATGAACATGAAAAGGAAAGGAAGGAACGCAACTGACTGGCGCATTCTATGTGGAAGAGAAAATGATCAGTGAGTGCGAAAAAATTCCCACTCACTGATCATTTTCCCTTCTACATAGAATGCGCCAGTCAGTTGCGCTCCTTCCTTTCCTTTTCATGCACCCTAGGTAATACCCACATGTAATTCTGAGCCTCCATGATTGAAAGAACTGAATTGCAATGAATGAAAGGGGTGGGACAGGAACAGTCAGGCTGGGGGAGGGAAGAGCTACATGATGCTTAATGTCCTCCAGCCAGGAATTGAGACAGGCTCTATTGGACTCGCTGCACAGTATGCAGTGAAATCGGAGTAAAGAATTTCAGTCCAGGAGAGGAGCTGGTACAATGGTGCAAGACTGAAGGGAAGGCCGGAGGTCAGATATAAGACTGAAGGGGAGGATTGAGGTCAGATATAAGACTGAAGGGAAGGATTGAGGTCAGATATAAGACTGATGGGGAGGACGGAGGTCAGATAAAAGACTGAAGGGAAGGACGGAGGTCAGATATAAGACTGAAGGGGAGGACGGAGGTCAGATAGAAGACTGAAGGGAAGGATTGAGGTCAGATATAAGACTGAAAGGAAGGATTGAGGTCAGATAGAAGACTGAAGGGGAGGACGGAGGTCAATAGAAGACTGAAGGGAAGGCCGGAGGTCAGATATAAGACTGATGGGGAGGACGGAGGTCAGATAGAAGACTGAAGGGGTGGGGGCGGTGCAGAATGGTGTCACATTTTCACCTGTGAGTCCAAAGTGACAACTTCTGAAATTAGTTTTTCTTATCATGTAGCACTCATAATGTATCTGTGCAGACACTTCACTTTTCTATATCATGCATTAAGATTAGTCCACTGACTCTTGTAGGGCTTTTGACACATTAGCAAAAGCACTTAACACATCAGAGTCAGCCGGCGGACAGAACCAGGCAGAAGCAGATGGGTCGGACCCAACAGCCGGAGGGAACATTCATGTCATTAGCCGGGATCAGGCCACACCTATCCTGGAGGTGGAAGGGCCCCTTTTGTCAGACACACATGTCACATTTAAGGTAGGTGGTGATACCCCACAATCACACATGATTTCTAATATTGAGACCGCATAAGGTTTTATGTGATCTGCATCTTTCTTCCCGTTTTGTTGCAGCTAACTATGCCCAGCCCGATGCCGGAGTATCTGAACGTACATTATATTTGTGAGTCAGCTTCCCGCTTGCTTTTCCTTTCCATGCACTGGGCTCGGTCCATTCCTGCCTTCCAGGCCTTGGGGTAAGCAAGTCTGATTGTCACCTCTTTGGCTCATAGTAAGAGGTCTGTGGTTGTGTCAGAGCAGTTCACGGCCTCATGTTCATTTAAGTTTAGGTTTCCCTTGCTATGTTGACTTAGCATTGTCCATATTCATAATTACTGGGAGCAAGACTCGCACCAAGTACCCCTTCATGTGTGAAAGGACGTCAGCAGGGATTTCATGTCTAATCCAACTATTCCGTGTACCTTTCCAGGCAGGATTGTAACACCACTCTGGTGCGTGCCTGCTGGAATGAACTGTTCACGCTCGGTCTTGCACAGTGTTCACAAGTGATGAGCCTCTCCACCATCCTGGCCGCCATTGTTAACCATCTACAGAACAGCATACAGGAAGGTACTGACTCTTGTAGATGTTTGATGTAGCATATTTCACCACTGAATTGCATAATAGGATTTGTTGAGTCTTCCTTTTAGGGAAGGGGTAAGCAAAACGTGGCCCTCCCAGCTTTGGTGAAACTACAAATCCTATCCTGCATCTACCTCTGGAATTCATGCCTGATCTGAAGGAGTCTATTCCACATTTTCACTGTGATGACGTCTTTCCACAAGCTGACGTTAAACCTTCTTTTCACCAGACTCTAGTGTCCCCTTGTCCTTAGACGTTATCCAAGTATAAAAACTTTTTTTTGCTGATGTTGAACACGATAATTATGTGACGATCTGCTACTGCTTTCTATTTTACAGACAAGCTGTCCGGTGACCGGATAAAGCAGGTAATGGAGCACATATGGAAGCTGCAAGAGTTCTGTAACAGCATGGCCAAACTGGACATCGATGGCTACGAATACGCTTACCTGAAGGCTGTGGTCCTCTTCAGTCCAGGTTAGAGGCTCTGCTTAACTCCTGTCACATTCCAGCCTCCTGAGTTGCTCTTTTTTCTGAGCTTGGGGGCCTGTTCACACCAGTGGGGACTTGTTATGGTGCGTACAGTGCGTGCTTGTTGGTGTGGACTTTGCACGTGCGCTGTAATGTGTTGTTGCAACCATGCAGCCTCTTTGCAGCCACTTCCTGTCTAGATACACTCCAGCAAAGGCCTCAGGGCATTTCTTAGGGCAGGTTTCCTGATGCTAGTGATAGTGCACCATGCCTGTGTGATGACCACTTGTAGTCTCCATTGGAAGCCAGTGTGACAGGGTTACAATGCAGGAGATGTTACCCCATAACAGGAAGTGCGTGAACAATTACAGCCCATTCACACTAAGCGACTTTCGGGGCGACGTTCCAGTGACGATCCAGCGACGGTAGCGCGACCTTCTCCGTAGGGCTCCATTAGAAAAAAGCAAAATCGCGCAAAATCCGCAGAAAAAATCTGTAGAAGCGACTTGCGACCGCGACGCGTGACATGGAGCTAAGACAGCTCCATTGAGTAGCATTAGCCGGCGACTTCTCGCGATATCGCGCTGCAAAAATGCGAGATATCGCGGCGGAAATCGCGCAAGAAATCGCTTAGTGTGAATGGGGCCTGAGGATTACTATGATGTGATCTTTCTCTGGAGTGTGAGATGAAAATTCTGCACAAGGAGCCAGTCAGTTCATGTGCTACTGATGCTTACTGATCAGATACTTATAGGAGGAGACAGAAGAATGAGGCCATACCTGTACTACAATAAAAAGTTTGATTTATACATACTTTACATTTGTTATTCTCTTTTGCTCTCTTTTTCTAACGATGTTGTAATGTATTGTGGGATCTGTCTGTCCAGATCACCCAGGACTGTCCAGTACGGCACAGATTGAAAAGTTTCAGGAAAAGGCACAGATGGAGCTCCAGGACTACGTTCAGAAAACATACCCTGATGACACCTACAGGTAACATTCACCTCGCAGCAGTGTTCACCGAGAGATTAAACGCTGATTGACTTACTAGAACCAGTCACTCCTGAGCTCATGAAAGAGTCTAAACATTTATTTTTCACTTTCTAAAACTGTTAAAAGCCCATTTGCATTTTGCTGGGGCCCTTTAGAACTCCTAAGACTGCCGGGACCTTTCTGGTGCACCTGCTGTTCCATGTTTTCCTTTATGGAGACTGGAAACACAAGATGTTCCTTCAAACCCTTATTAGCCCCATACACATTCGAAGAGGACTTTGTTAAAAAGTGCTCTGCCCCTTTTGTGGATCCAGCAGTGTCCTATCTTAACAAAGTGACCACCATTCTGGTGGGAGATTCACCGGTCTTTAAGGACCCCACCGATAAGCAGTTGGGGGCTCTCTCTAGAGTTCTGTTCTCGCTGGTAGGGCCTGCTCTTCTGTTTTTGCTATGACCTTGATTTGCCAAACACTGACTGGTCTAAGCCTATTAAAAGGGATCTGATCACTATTGCAGTGCCTCGGTCATAGAACCTTTGGAACAAAATGGCTGTAGCCCTAAGCTACAGTTGTGACTGGCTGTTGGAGGTTTGCAGTCTAATTTCCTTCATGAGTCTCTCGTCAGTGCACAAGCAGAGGACACTTTGTTTAAAGTGTTAGACTGCTGAACTTGCGTCCAAGGAGCGAATACTCTGAATAGATTTTAAGGGACAATGTCTTTTTGGGTCTACTCTGGATGACATCATCAAGGATGCCACGGGCAGCAAGAACACCCTTCTTAAGCCAGAGAAGCCTAAGGCTGTCTGGGAAGGCCGCCTCCTCGCTGGAGGTTAAAATAAAGTCCTTTTTGTTACTCCATGTCCACAAATTCCAAATCCAAGCCCAAGGCTGGTTCCCAGTCTATCCTTGAAGCTTGGAGCTCCCAGTGTGCAAAACCATCAAATATTCTTGGGCATAAAGATGCACTTTCCAAATGTCTGTTAGCCTTTTTGGACACTTGGACAGCCTGTATCTCAGGTGCCTGGGTCCTGAAGGTGATTTCCAGGAGAAAAAAAGCTAAAGTCTCACTCAGCCACCTCCTCAGTTTATCACTTACAACCTTTCCTGTGGTACTGCACAGAGAAGCAAATTTCCAGGCAGCCCTGGCTGGTCTTTTGGATCAAGTTGTCATTGCCCTAGTTCCTTTGACAGAATGGTTTCAGGAGTTTTACTCCAACCTGCTTATGGTTCCTAGACCCATAGTGGGTCCCATCTTAGAGCTGAAAACTCTGAAATTCTTCATTCAAGTTCATATGTTCTGTATGGAATCCACTAGGTCTCTCATCACCTTCCTCCACCAGGGAGATCTCCTGGTGTCTGAGGACATCAAGCCCTGCCATTTGGCCTCTTTTGCACCTTGTTTGTTCACCAAGGTGCTGGCCCCAGTACCAGCCTTGATGCCCTCTGAACAGTCAGCACCGGTTCTGGCAGACAACATAGCTTTGATTGTCAAGACCTTGCAGAAGTTCGGATTAATTCTGAACCTTCAGAAATCAGCACTGGAACAAATTCATTGCGTGGAGTTTCTGGGCCTAGCCCTGGACATAGCGCAAGCCAAAGTACTTTACCTCCCCAGGATAAGCTTCAAACTCTGCTCCCCAACTTTTACTTTTTAGCCCAGACGTTGCTGAGGACCAGGTTGTTCCCAGGTCTGTGATGTCCTCATGATGGTGCCAGCCTCTTGGCTCGGGAAGGTTCCAGGGTACTCTATCGGTTCAGGGGACTTGATTGCCAGAGGAGTCTGGTCTCCCAATTATTATCCTGTAGCTTCAGACAATTTGGTTGCCTCTGCAGCATTGAACTATCCTTCTGGAGGGTCACTTGATCCAGATTCAATTGGACAACCCCGTGGTGATGGTGTACAACAACCATCAGGAACCAGAAGAGGTAGTTTGTATCCTGTAGTGGGTGGAACTTCTTGTTCCATCCTTGTCTGTCATGTAATCCCAGGCATAGACAGTTGGCGGACAGACTTCCCAAGGTCCCACAAGATCTATCATTGGTCATAAGGAAAACTTTACTTGGTGTGAGTCTGAGGACTTCCACCCTAGAGGTTTCTCTGTGGGACAAATCCACTGCTTCCTGCACCTGGGTCTGGACTACCGTTTGGCTCTCGACACTATCTAGTGCCACGTTTCTGCTCTTTTAATTCTGTTTTAGACACAGTTCGCCTCTCACTTCTTGATTAAAACCTTTGTTAGGGGGGGGGTCTCTCATTTTTGTTCCCCTGTGACTCCATGGGATCTCAATCTGGTTTTCTCTGTCCTTCAGAAACTGCTGTTTGAACCCATTAGAGACATTCCTTTTGCGGTCCTGCTTTGCTACAAAACTGAGACGCGATGGTAGTAGGAGGGGTTATCCTGGGCTAACCTACTGTTTATTGTTTGCCATTGTCCAATCTATCTGTAGGCGGCAGTATAACCCGAAAGACTTCTTGTGTCCCTTAGTGGACTCCAGGTAAAGGATTTTACAGTGAGTATGGAATTCTATTGTTATCAATGTAAACAAAATGTATTTTTGCTCAGAAAACTGTTTTTAAAATTTATTTTCTCCAAAAATGTTAGATGTCAGAGTGGACTGTTTCTAAATGGTTGTCTTTATCTCTTCACGGCTTCTACCATCCCTAAAATCCCCATGTGTACTCTCCCCCACAGGCTGGCGCGGATCTTGGTGCGGCTCCCGGCTCTGAGACTTATGAACTCTAGCATCACAGAGGAACTCTTTTTTACCGGCCTGATCGGCAGCGTCCCCATCGACAGTATAATCCCGTACATCCTGAAGATGGAGACGGCGGAGTACAACGGGCAGATCACAGGGACCAGCTTATAGCGAAATAGCACTTGTGTACAGACCAAGCACTTTGCAACGCACCCTTCCAGAGAGCGAGATAACATATTAACGTTCGCGAGGGAGGGAGGACGTGTCCAAACACCCCGATTAGCAGTAATATGTGCTGCCTAGTAGGGCCTCAGTCGGACATTTCAGTAATTGTAACCCATTTCATTGCCCAAACAGAACCGCATCTTAAACAGCCATAAGCAGACTGTCAGGTAGGACCGCCTATAGGTTACACTTTCATGTTCTGTGCAAGAGCATAGCAGTCTATTCAACACAATAACATAAGTGTACAGCTTAGAGAGGGGAAAAAAAAGTCATAACGGCACAACTGACAGCTCAAAGAACAACGTGCTCATGTAATCTCAGATGTCAGGTTTTCGGAGGCCGTGGGGGTGCAGTTCCTGCAGACAGAAGAGAGCGCTTTCACTTTAAAGGACCAGTAGACTTCAGAACTGGGTTTCTAGTCGCACGCAAAAGTTTGAGCACCCCTAGTCAAATTAAACTAACCATGTCTGTGAACTCCAGGCAGACAGGAAAAATCTTCAAGTCATTTGAGGGGGGGAGGGGTTTTAGCAAGCAAAGTTGAATTCTAGGTACCTTATTGTTTTAATACAACACAAAACGCCACAGCTGTCACTTTAGTATTAAGCTGAAAGGGTTCCTTTAATCGTTAGTTTTCTTCACAATTACGCATCCTCCCTTTTATCTTGGCTTCATCTTCCTGCTAGTACAGAAATATAAAAACTTTGCCCAGTATCAGTCCAATAGGATAATCCATATAAAACAATATGTAACCAGCTTTAAAGTGCAAGTTCACCTTCCCAAAGTTTACTCGCCGCAACATATTTGCTTTTCCCCCTTCGTTCTCTCGGCTGTGTTGCTCTGTATATTGCTGTGGCCCCAAAGAGAGAAGCTGATTGGTTGCCATGCACAGCTGCTTCAGATTTTCTCTGCTCCAGTTTTGATAAATTCCCCCATACTGTTTCCCATATTAAGCCCTCATATGTGTATAATCCCCCAAAACGTGTTGGCTTTTTTTTTTGTCCACCCAACTCCATTTTGGTTAAAGCTGTATCCGGACTATTGAACAGATTGTGGGGCTCCAATTTACAATTCTGCAGTCACCCATTCAAGGCAAAGTGACTTTGTGTTTATAAAGAGACGCCTTGTCCCAGTTATCCTGGCATTGCCACTGGTCCCGCGCCGCTGTTAGTTAATGCCGATTAGGAAACCCAGTGTTCCTGGACATGGGGTGTGACCTCCTACCATTGACAGTGCATAGGTCTGGCAGCCAATCGCTTGGTCCCGGGCACTGTCACATGACCGACGGGTGACGTTATGGCTTCCACTAGCCTACTACACAGGCAGCACATTGGATTCCAGTGCTGGCTGCAGCACATGCAGGAGCGCTGCGGGATCGCTGATTATGTGAGTATAACTATGTGGGGGGTTGTAAGTTATTTTAAAATATAGAACAAAATTTAATTTTCATTTATTGAGATCCAGAAGGTGAACTTGCACTGTAAAGCTGGTCCGGTGCCGGACAGATTGTTACAACTTCGAGTTGCGCTCTTAGACGCCAGTTCACAAACTCTTCGTTCAGAACCTCAAAGCAGATTCACACGCGGCCTCGAGAAAAACAAGAGAAGGGAAGCAAATGCTAAAAGCCCCACGTCCCTTTGGTGAAGGGAAAACGGCAGAGGAGCTGCAGGCCTCCCCCATGTTTGGAACCGAGTTATTTTATTACCGTTGCTTTGTTATTTCTGTATATAATTTGCGACCGAAGCACTTTTCCTGCGAGCTTCCGACGACAGCTTAGAGCACGGAGCAGCTTGCGTTACCCCGGCCCGGTGGTAGGAAAAAAACAAGAAGAGTTCATTTGCACAGATACCTGTGCTGGCAGCGCCGCAGACAATCACGGAATGCAGGACGGCGGGAAATCGACTGCTTGCGTTCCTGCTTACCGCCACGTAAAGCCGTGAGCCTGTACGGTACAGACGTCACAGCGGATAAAAAAAAAATCAGGAACAATTGAGATACAAAAGAACAACCGCGATCATGAATCATCGGAGTCATCATGAAGGTGCAATACACCTCAGTACCAATGAAGAATGGAAGACGTATTGTTAACGTTCACAGAAATAAGTCAGGTTACCAGAACGGAACATTTTCCACAGGAGGGGGAAGGAAGGTCTCTCCTGCAGATGACTTCCTGTCCAGTATACCCGCCGTTGCCTCGCTGCAGCCTTCACCTGGCTGAATAGGTCAAACAGGTTGTATTCAGCTATGGAGAAATCATTTATACAGAGCGATACATCTTATGTAATACTTATTAATATCTTTGTGTTGTCTAATGCACTTTTTAGGGAGGTTCTCCAGGAAAGGGTTAACGCTGCCAGTGGCGTCACATGGGGGGTGCAGCCCGCACCCGGGTGACACCAAAATGACTTGACTGACAGTCATTTTGGTGTCACCCCCCTCTGAGAAGTCGGGCACTCGATCATGGACTGAGAACCCGGCAGTGTCAGGAGAGAGGAGGGGACCCCGCGACATACCTTATTCCGCCGGGTGAAAGTCCCCTCCTCTCTCTGCCGGAGTCCATCACCAAGATGGCCGCCAGCAGGTATCAGTTGGATGGGTCGCGCATGCACGATGATGTCACGGCGGGGTGTCACTCGGTGTATCCGCTCTGGGTGACACCCGGCCTCGGGGCGCCCCTAAACTCTGCTCCGAGGGCTCATTCAGACCAGAACTCAATCATCAATGTGTATGGCGTGAATGAGCCCTCAGGCCGGGGTCAGAAGGGAGCTTTGGGCACAGTGTTGGTTCGCTCTGACACGGCGGCGGAAGGTTTCGGTGGTGGGATGATTGAGGTCCGACCACGGAAAGTGAATGGCTCCAGAACCTTCTAAATCACACCATTGTATATGTGTATTTATTTATTTTTTAACTTCAATTGGAAAGGTCTTTGGTAGTAGAGAGATCTTTCTTTCAGGCGTTGTATTCATAGAAGTTGTATTTTGTTTTTATTTTTTTAAATTCTTTTTAAAAGTCAGTTCAATGTTTAGTTTAAATGAATACATTCCGGGTGCATGATAATAAAAGGAGTGCAAAGTCATGTTATCTTTAGAAAGCAGCCACAGCCTGAGTAGAAAAGCTTGTCCCCGGCCAGCATACTGCAGAGAAGGACTCTTGTTCCCTGTGTGGAAGAAGCAGAGGCCTCTGCAGAGATCCAACATGCCCCCCTCTGATAAGTCAGACCTAGTGTTCCACCAACCCTCTGATAAGTCAGACCTAGTGTCCCACCAACACTCCCCCCCCCTCTGATAAGTCAGACCTAGTGTTCCACCAATTGAGTAGAAAAGCTTGTCCCCGGCCAGCATACTGCAGAGAAGGACTCTTGTTCCCTGTGTGGAAGAAGCAGAGGCCTCTGCAGAGATCCAACATGCCCCCCTCTGATAAGTCAGACCTAGTGTTCCACCAACCCTCTGATAAGTCAGACCTAGTGTCCCACCAACACTCCCCCCCCTCTGATAAGTCAGACCTAGTGTCCCCCCAACACTCCCCTCCCTGTGATGAATCAGTCATGTTCCTTGCTGATTGGAGAGCTCCAGCAATGACTCCGTGTGACTTCTCTGGAATCAGGGGGTTTCTCCCCAGAGTCATAGCCAGAGCCCTCCAATCTGCAGGGAACATAAGCTTAGCTGATTGGAAATCTATTGGGCTGATTCATCAAATGGGGGCGTGTGTGACCTCTGAGGAGAGACCACTGCTTCCACACAGAGCAAGGCTCTCACTCTGCAGCATGCTGGCAGGGACAGGCTTTTCTACTCAGAATGTGGCTGCTTAAAGAAAATAAGATCCAGAACACCTTTTGTCTTCATGCCCCCGCAATGTATTGATTGAAACTGACTGTCCTGTTGGGCTTTAAGACGCTACATGAAGTGTTTTTCACTGTCTGTCCGTCTTCATTTCGGCAGATTAAATTGTAACAAATGTGACAATAATTGTTATATTTTAAAGGGAAATTCCACTTTTCCAGGTGAGTTTGGGAAAATGGAATGACCCCTCCAATCTGACCCCCTTCTCCTTGTTATGCTGCCGTGTACAGAATACAGACAGTATATCGGCACCAGCGGAGGTAAGTATAGCGGGGGAGGGGGGGACAGATTGGAGGGGTAATTCCATTTTCCCAAATTCACCTGTGAAAGTGGGATTACCCTTTAACTCTACATTTTTTAGAAGCACTCCAAGGAGAGCCAAGGGCTGTGTGAGAGGTCTGGGCTCCCATCTGAGATGGCCCGGTTGATGACTTAGATACTCCTAGAACTAAGTATCTGTAAAGAGTATAAAGTACCCCAACTATGAACTATTACTACCTATCGGTCTGTTAAATATACCATTTAAAGTGTTTTGTTATATCTGTTTAATGTGCAGAGAAATACCTGTTGATCCTGCCAGAAATCCAGAGCTGCCCTGTGTGATCTGCAGTCTTGTCTGGGAAGTATGTTGGGAGGTGTTTTTCTATCCCATGTTATAGAGAGAGGGGTGGGGGGGAGTGTTCTGTAGTCCTAACACACTTCCTGTCCTGGGGTGACAAGTTGCTCCTCTATACCAGGGTTTCTTAAAGTGTGGGTCGCAACCCCATGTGGGGTCACGCAAGTGAATGGGGGGTCGCGATCCGAATCCCTGGCCAGGGCAGCTATCAGGGGGGTATGGACCTGAACTCGTGTGAGGGGCCCTGGCAGCTGGGGAGGCCTGGGCTCCAATTGGGGGTCACGTAAAAATTTCCATGGCCGAAAATGGGTCACCAGTGGAAAAAGTTTAAGAAGGCCTGCTCTATACAGTGCAGTGATTGAGCGTTGTCACCCTAGGACAGGAAGTGTGTTACTGGCAGGATCACCGAGAGAACAAAATGAAAACGAATGCAGCCGTCACTTCAAAGAACCGATGAGCTGCGATAAATGACATTTGCGTTCTCGAGTTTAACCCTTTCCTGGAGAAGCGGCGCAGCCAAGCGATCTCTCGCGGCATAGAATGCCGAGTTGACGGTTTCAATCCCCAAGCACTTCATCGTTCTACATTTCAGTCTCTATGGTGAACCTGTAAATATAAAACTGACTTTACAAGACCCGATGGAGGTCCTGCCACTGAGGAAAAGTGTGTCCGTTGTTGTTGTTCTTGTCCCCGTTGGGAGATTTGCTTTCACTTCCTGTTCCAGCTTCCAGGTCGGGGACACGGAAACACGACAGAGGCTTTAAACATTTTATCCAGAAAAAGGTTTTGGCTTCAGTTCCACTTTTAACATCCGCAGAGGAAGTGTCACGGCTGCCTCATATCGGCGCAGTGCGATGCAGCCGGACTGACGATGGGGGGCGGCAAGAATTGCTTTTAAAGAGACCCTGTCACCAATACTCCCATATGATTGTATGTGTACAAAATGTATTTTATTCATGTTATGTACCTTTAAGAGCCTCCCTTGTGTAGACACCCAAAAGCCCTGAGACCGAGCTGGGCGCCGCCATCTTTGATGTGATTTCAAAAGCCCCAGCAGACTTGGTGCTGTCATCATCACGCCTTATCGCAGGGGTGGGCCATCCGGTACTCAAGCTGTGCATTAACTACAAATCCCAACATGCTCTGCCTATGGGAGTCGTGCCTGTAACTGTCAATCATGCAATGCAGCATGGGACTTGTAGTTCCACATCAGCATGGAGGGCCAGAGTCGCCCACCCCCTGCTCTATAGTATTCCACTTCGCTCCTCCCCTGGCAGCTATAGAAATGATTATGTAGGGAGGGGTGAAGGAGCTGGGCCTGCACAGACAATAGTTAGACACTCCCAGGAGAGAAGAGGGCTATAATGTGTAAGGGGGGAGGGGCTACGCTATGGAATTGACTCTTCCTAAAGCGGTCGAATTCCCTAACAAGTTGCGAATCAATAAAATATAGTTCTGCAAGTAAGCATTTGATTTTCTGTGCTTTTACCTGCAAGTCTGTGACCGGGTCTCTTTCAGGTTGAACGCCGGGCTCGCCTCTCTTGCTTCTCCTGCTCCCTCCCCCATCAGTATTTTCTTTTTATTGATGTTTTATATCATTTCTTGTCACTTATCTCCCCTAAAATGATGACCCTTCCCCCTCACCACTGGTCTGGGGAAACCACCGTGACCCCCTGACGGCCGACACTTCCCTCCACCTCTGGTCCGGTGAAACCACCGTGACCCCCTGACGGCCGATACATTGTATCCAGTGACAGCCCCGGGGACACAATGTGACTACAGATCCCGGCATGCAGCGCTGTCAGTGTTGGGCTGTAAAAAATATGACTTAAAAAAATTGCATAGCTTATTCATCCAGCAAATCTGCAGCTACATTCCTTCTGTGCCAGTGAACCAGCTGTTGTGAGAATGAGGCAAAAGCAAATGTTCTTAGTGAATTGTCTCTGGTTGAATGTCGTTCAATAGACAGAACAGAATAAATCGGGAACACTAGCACATTGTGGCCACTGGATGGCGCTGAGGATCACAGGAAATGAATACAGGATAGTTTCAAGCAATAATTCAAGAGAACGCTGGAGGGAATGAGCATATGAATGTAACCATTGATACCACAGGGATGGCGATGGTGACATTTATATTGTCATGCTTCTCTAGTAGGTTTGTTCATAGAGTGAAAGGGCGAAAGTAGCACATTGTGGCCACTAGGGGGAGATGAGGATCACAGGAAATGAATAGACGATAGTAATGTGGAGGGAATGAGCATATAAATGTAACTACCTCCTCATGTATCACTGGCCCCTCCCTTTTTAGATTGTAAGCCCTCCGGGGCAGGGCCCTCCTTACCATCTTGTCTTGAATTGTATTGTGATTGTAATGTCTTCCTTATATTGTAAAGCGCTGTATAAATCCTGTATAATAATAATAGCCATTGATGCTACAGGGATAGCGATAGTTACATTAATATGATCATTTGCTTTTTAAATTGTAACATTGTATCCCATTACTAAGATATATTTATTTCTTATGATGCTCAGCTCCATATAGCGTCCAATATTTATTCGATTCACTCTGTTCCCATATGAATGAACCTATCAAAGAACATTCGACCAGAAGAGAAAATGCACTAAGAACATTTGATTGTATCCCATTCTCACAACAGCTGGCACAGAACGAGTGTACAGGCTGGACGAAAAGATATACAATTTTTATTTTATGAATAGACCCATTATGTGTAAAAAAAAACTTTCCATAAGAGTCCTGGATAGCAGTAAAAACATAACGGGGTTTTAATCCAAAAAGCTTTGGCTGAACATTCACTTTGGGGCCTGTTTATAAACAGTTTGCAGAGCCATTTACCCTGTGAATCGCCTTGAATGTTCGTTCTGTGCAAATAGAGGCAAAACGAATGTTATTAGATGTATTTTTTAGCGTGACTGAAATGTAATGCAGAATTGTGGCCACTAGATGGCGCTGAGGAGCATGGGTAAGACGTATGGATTTCCTATGCTCCTCTGCGCCATCTAGTGGCCATAATGCGGTATTACATTTCTTTTGAATCTCAAGAATATTCTGTTTTGTCTCTTTTCACACAGAAAGAACGTTCACAGGGTGAATGTCTCTGTGAATTGTTTATAAATGAAGGAACCACTCAAAAGCCACATCTGCTGGTCCATCACTACATCTTGTATTAGAAGTGGTGCTCCAGTCATTTGGTGGTTTCTTCGTCTCTCCACAGAAACGCTGAAGCGACACTTTTTGTTTTTGGGGCTGTCGGCGGTTCCCCCAGTCTTTAGGGAATACCAGATCCCATCCTGTTTCGCAGGGCATGCTGGGATTGTTTCCCATCAGCTGCTCAAGTTGCTTTGGAGTCATTTTTTTTTTGTACACCCCCCCCCCCCCCCCCCC